ATGGATGGATGGATGGATGGATGGATGGATGGATGGATGGATGGATGTGAGGATGTGTGATGTGAGGATGTGTGATGTGATGTGATGTGATGTGATGTGAAGGCAATGAATGTAATGAATGTAATGAATGGAATGCAATGGAATGGAATGGAATGGAATGGAATGGAATGTATGTATATGCTATGCACATGTATCATGCGTGCGTCTTCGAAGTATGAATGGCTTGAGAAAACTGGAGATAGAAGGAATACACCAGATATAGGTATGCGGGATGCGGCATGCATACATAAGATCTCACTCAAAACACATGGTTGCCTCAGGGGAACACGTTCATGATTTGTGGCAGCTGCGATTAGAGGATGCAATGAAAGTAGTCCTTGCCAAGAGCTTCTCCCCTCCATACAAGCATACGCAATGCTGTACCATAGCTAGCTGCAGGGCAAACAACATGCTCTTGAGACCTGCACGAGAAGGCAACCAAACGTGGAACTCTTGACACAAGTAGGGCTCCAAGCGAATCACCAAGCTTTGGCGAATGAGCATGAAGCAGAAGAGGATCAGGATTATCTGAAGAAATGTCAACATAAGGCAATGTCCAAAGGAAAAGAACATCCTACTCAGTCGTTGAGGATTGTGGTTGTGGGCGGGCTCTTCTCGAAAGACCTTTTAAGTCAGCAATCGTGCCAAAGTGTCCGTTGTCATCAGTGCCCCCATCTTGTCGAAAAAGAGCCACACAACCTGCAAGCAAGAATAGCCGTACAAAATTGGGTCGTGCAAGAGTCTCTCAATCTTCAGGAAACAAGCGCTGGGCTCCGGACTAAGATAGTCGAAATGAAGTAGCAAAACAACCCAATGACGAAGAAACGCATTGCTTCCTGCGGTGAGTGCAAAGGAGATGATTCATGACAACGACAAAACCCTTTGCTGCCCTTTGCTTCTTGCATTTCACTTGAGACATCCAAAGTGCTACAGTTAAGTCATGTTAAGTCTTTGGTATTGATGCAGGTAGAATTGCAGAATTGCCATAGTACACAACAAATTGCCTTGGATGGAGGCCCTCTGCCCTCTGCCCCTAGATGTATACGCACTGCGCCAGGCCTTCTGCGCTTGTTCCAAGACATCAATGGCTTGATGCAAATGAGCCTGGTCTGCTCCACGTAGGGCCTGACACATAGAGGGCTTGCAAGCTGCCTACTTGTCACGCAGCGATAGTCTCCAATTGCACTTCCTTGTGGGAACATCATCTAGGCTGGATCCAAAACAAGCCAAGCTGGGGCGGATGGATCATGAATCCGTCCTACAGTAGCTTTTCTTTGAAGGTTAGAATGCTCAGAGTGTTTCGACCAAGTCGCTGGTGTGCCCAAGATGTCTGGTTCATGTCGGGCTTCTTTGCAAGAAAGGATGAAGAACTTGCTCAGTGGTCGCTTGAGCTGATTCTTAGCTGTTTGCTGCCGCGCTTGAGTTCAGATGTGGTGAGCGCGGCGCCCGCAATTGGCTTAGCCCCTCAGCCTCCCTCTTTTGACGATGTAAATTGTGTCATTGCCGCAGCATCAGCTAAGAGTTGGCTTTGCAGCGTGGCAGTTGTCCAGTGGTCCGGTATTGAATGTACTGATAAGAAAAACAACACTTATTACGAGGAAATTCCTATATATGTAATATATGTATCTATATATATATATATGTAGATCGAAACTGCCAAACTCTCTGGTCGATGCAATCAGTATGCTTTCAAACCCCGAGCGGCCGGAGCAGCACGAGCCTTCCCAGGACCCCAAAGGTTGCAAAGTGTAGCGATGAGAATCACCTGAGGATGACTCGAGGGCCTTTTTCGGGGCTCTTGGGGTTAATCAATTTATATAATGCCAACCAACATGTTCAACTTCCCAAGCTGTGCACAGAAGTCACTTCTTAAAACCCTTCTTTTGAGCGAAGGGTCGCAACGAGGTGCTTAGGCAAGTTCTTACGCGTTGCTTACGCGAATCACATTTGAGCTTATGCGCCTCACTCTAGGCTTACGCAAACAACTAAGAACCCACTGTCTGCACTGCACCACACCACAGCATGAGCTTACCACGCTTAATTTCCTTAGTGCAAATACTTGTAAACACGTCGTCAAGCAAAGTTTATGCACTTTGCTTGCGCTAGTGCATCAGCGATAGATTGCTGATGCAACGCAACCTTACGCAATTCAGGATGTTGTCCAGCCCCTTGCTAAATATGAACACCGAGGCTTGAACGATGCTCACTTGGGCCAGAGAGGGTCACTTGGGCTCCAGCCAAAAGGTTCATTCCAAACGCACTGCTGGTGAAGATGAGAAAGGCCATGACCAATAGGGAGTCCTCCCATCCAGGTACCTTTCCAAAAAAGGTGGAGCACACATTCCGAAATCCGTGCAAAGGTCTTGTGGTCACGCTCATGGTCAATGCAGATGAAGCAAAACCAGCCAGGATCGATGAGATGGAGGACCTTGAGGGACCGGCGCCTTTTGACCTTTGGACCCGAGTGTCCGTACAATTGGGCCAAGAGTGACTGCTAGTAACACATGCATTTCTCTTGTTGGACGCTGGAGATCCGTTTGGGCCCTGGTGCTCAAAAGACTTGAAGAAGAGTTGCAACCATTCTGTTTTAAGTACTACGTCCGTCGTATAATTTTTAGTGATCCAGTCATCGTAGATAATCCGCCCACTTATAACCTCTCCACACAGGTCGCCAGTCGTGCGTTGGATGCTGAGCCCACGAACAGTCGGTTAAAAACCGTCAAATAGTAAGTGAGTTCCTCAGCGCATGTCAAACAGCTGACAGCTGAGAGACACAAAAAAGGAGAAGCTGCTGCGTCAATGGATGAAGTGTTGCAACTGCGGGTAGTATCAAGCTATTACCAGGTACTTTGTAGGAACAAGTAGGTAGGGTGATCCCTTTACAGCTTTGGGGATTCAAGACGGAAAATGCATTTTGGGTTTACGGCTGTGTGCACTCTTTAAGAGGTTGGCTACAAACATTTAGTGAAAAACGATGAGAAAGAAAACGACAAACATGTTAATTAATGTTGCAAATGATCATGAGATGACAATGAAAACATTCATCCCTAAAGGATGATGTAGTGCGGCAAAAATTGCATCAATGACAAGTAACGTTGCGATGCCCATGACAATGTTGTGAAACTGTTGACATTGTTGTGATACTGTACCAATAGGGATGCTGCTGTACCGACAACAATGTTGTTGATGAGAAGCCATGATACCGATCGCAAAGTTGTGAATTGAAACTGCTGACAATGCTCCGATAATACCAGTGACAAATGTCGTGAAAACCGCTCTGATGCTGTGACATTGTCATCCGTCCCACATGATGCAACCATTGGCAATATTGGTACTGGTTTGACATGAATGTATATATTCCAGGGACTGCGAAGGGAACATGATTTCCTTTTCCTCTTTTGGAGGGGCCGCCTGCTTCAGGAATGCAAGCCAGGGGGATCGACACCACCTTTCGGATCTGGACCTCTCCGGGTGAGCGGCGGCGAGCGGTCCCAAAAAGACTCCTTCGACCATGGTTCAAACATTGGCCTTCATGTTCAACTTCCTGTGCTGTGATGTGCTTGTCGTTTGCTTTCATATCCTCTTCTTTAGTGACTTTAGTGTGTTTTGATTCCGGTTGTCTCCCTTTCCTCATTCCTTCTCATCTTCCTTTTCCTCTTTCCTGTCCTCCACTTCCTCCCTTTCCTCCCTCGCAATAGCTCACGCACTTCCCATGCACATTCAGCCGGGCCATGACAAAGCACAGTTGAGGCGCAGCTTTCCAGCAGAGACTGAGCAGCTCAGCTGCCCACCATGTTCCGTATCTCCAAGGATGTCTTGTGAAACTTCGAGATGACATTGCCCTTGTTTGCCTGCGAGCATCATTCTAGACACCGAAGGAAAACTCTTGGAACCTCAGCTAAGACGTTCAGCGTTTGCACCCTCTGAAGACTTTAGACAATGCTCCTCGCAAGCAGCTTGTGGGTAGTCGTTCGAAAACTGTCCAGTAAATGCTCTTCATCTTGAGGGAACTGGGTTGGCGATATGACTCTTTGCCTGGAGCATTGTGCTTTTGCCACTCGACCTGGTTGCCAACTAAAACAAACAAATGCTGTCAAAATAAGCTTTTCGTGTTCCGGCACTATTTTGCTTGAAGATAGAAGCTGAGGGCACAGCCAGGCTGCAAGCACATGAGATCCGCTCACCACGTGCTAGTCTTGATGGCATTCGGTCTTGGCTTCGCTCGTTCTTGTGGCAGTCTGTAATTTTTCTTCACTAGGTCATGTTCTGAGAGGCCATGTGTGACGAAAACGAGTACCCACCCAATCCACTTCTTCTCATTGTTACAATCATGAAACGCTTCGAGCTGATGAAACACCTCTGACTGTTGACGGTTGAAGTCTCAACAAGCGCCTACGGCGTCTCCTGTTCTTCTTGTCCAAGTTGCCATGCTTAAACATGTTTTACTCTGAGAGCTTGTACCGGTTAGCGGCAGGCTGCGCTGACAGTACGCCAGTTTACTGGCTCAACCTAGGCCTGAAGTTCGACCGGATTCTTTGTTGTGAAGCTTGCTTATGTTTGCAAGCTGTTCAATTGAACATCTACGGAATTCTACGGATTTGTTCTTCCGTCACTGGAGCCCTCTGCGCATTTCTGTTGGGTGCGAAGTGTACCAAGCCAGCACTGGCTTCAACGACCTGAAACGGCTAAAACCAGAATGTAAATAATATGAATTCATAATGTCAATAGCTTCTGCGTCAATCAGTCACAGAAACATAATCTTGGTCCTTGTGCCAAACCAAAGCTGGATCAAGCCAAACAAGACATATGGACAACAAACACACATTTCGCAAGGCGAGTGCACACTCAATTGTTTTGACATCCGAACGATCTGGATGTCCACGCTGTTGCTTACAAGGGCCTGCGAAGGGTTCAAATGTGACTTGGAACGGTCATGCCTTCACTGCAAAAACGGCATGGGGTTGCAGGCTTCAACACAATGAAGACTTGTCATTGTATCACTGCTCAAAAACCTGTTGCAAGATGTTGCAAGTTGCCCCAAAAACAATAATGGTTGTCCTTTGGCAACACGTCGAGAGAGCAAACAGAAATGAAGCTTCCATATTTCACACCCATCATCAGGATCCTTGGGTCACTCTTGGAACTGGCAAGAATAACAGTATAACTATAATTTATAACTGCAACAACAACAACAACGGCAACACCCAAGAAAGGTTTGATTGATCTAGGCACGTTTGCAAACGGTCTTGCCTCAATTCCTTTGCCATTATGATCAGTGCACATTGCCATTATTTTGATGCTGGCCCTCAATGTGTGAGGAAAAGTAATACATATATATTATATATATATAGTTATGTATATACAATAAATCTCAAATGAGTCTAAATCAACTTCAAGGACATTCAAGGACAAGCTTGAATGTGAGTTGATTTTTTTTGTTTTTTATTTATTTTTTTTTTTTTCGATTGGTTTCCTGATTGTATGAAGAAGAAAGCAGCATGGGTCTCCCTCAAGCTTTGCGCATCAAATGCCAAAAACGCTCTTGAATACCAAACTAACATGCCGTGGCATAATGCTTCCGGAAGAGGATGGAGGGTTGTATTAAAAGAAGAGGCACTGCTGCTATTTCTCAACATGCAGTAACTGCAAACTGGAATAGACTGCAGCCATGCCGAGTTTGTCCCTCCTGCCTCCCTTCGCTGTCCTACGGCATGTCAAAGACAAAGTAACAATGAAGTCTGTGAGAGAGAATCCTAATTGCAATGGCCTCCAACTCCAACCTAATAGCAATGGCCTCCAACCTAGACCTAGTAGTGATGGCCTCCAACCTAATAGCGATGGCCTCCAACCAAATAGCCAATAGCAATCCTAATCCTATTCAGTACTCTCAGTTCTCGGGCTGGCTCCTTGTGTATCACTGTGATTTTCCGTGGCCCCAGCAAGCGCGACACCTGCGGTAACATACCACAGTATCCCAGACCGTGAAAGAAAGTTCTTTCCTAACCCCATACACCAAAGTTAATAAAGTCAAAGTTGTTAAAAAGAGGATCGGTGTCGGGGCTCATTTCTATGAATATTGCTTTTTGAAGAAGCAGCAAGGATCTCAACATTCGGAGGGCAAAGAGAGCAAAGCGTTGTTGCTAAGGCTGATCACCAACCAGGTCCCAGGCTAGGTTTATCGCGATAATGACCTCAGATTAGGACTGGCCGTGACTTGCCAATTGAACTTGCCTGCTTGAAAAGGCACAGAGTCACGAAGATGTCCTTCTCTATGCAGCCCTACAGGGGCCCTATCAAGAAAAGACAAATACATACATACTGCATCATACTTGTGCACCTTGTCTTTTCTTGGTCACACTCTGACAGCCCGGCTCCAAACATGCTGCCCATGCCAAGGAGGATTTGGTACCTTGCAGTTGCTCAAAGACAGAAAGTCATGACATTGTCCCATAACCTTGCACAACCTTAGCAACACACAAAAAAAAAAAACATGCGAATAAACACAAGGCACCCAAGACAATTGTAAACCCCTGTGCATGTCCTGGTCCACAGCTCCTTGCACATTCTTTCCGGTCTCGTGATCTTCAAGGTCACATGATGCCACCGCCGCCACCACTACTTTGATGAGCCTGGAAGAACTCTGCGGCTTTGATTGCACCGTATGAATATGTATGAATGCAGTCGATCAACATATGCGGAGACGAGGTCTCTCCGGTCGAGCTCAGTCATGTGCCGTGGACCTAAAGTCTAAAGTCTTCTCATAGGGTTGGAATACTAAAATGTGCTATAAAGTACCGACCACCAACAATGTGCAATACATATCAAATATGATATATATATATATATATTTATATATATATGCTTATATACATCTATATTATTTACGTAGTATTGTACCTTTGTGTTATTCTTTGCAAGAAAAGGAATTTGGAGATGACGGCTCAAACATCAACTGGGCCTGGGAATAATCGTAGGATGGTCCAGGTGCCGCTGGCGGTGGAGGCTGTACTGCTGGTGCTGTACTTTGCACCTTCAAACAACTCGCAGTGAATTTGCAAGCAGTCCTGCAGCCTTCCCCAACAGCGCTGTAGATCGAGGTTTTCAAATGGAAAAGTACCATTTCGGACGGAGATGGAAATACAACAGCCAGTCACTCCCATTCCCTCCTGGTTAACGGACAAAAATCATACCAGCCTTTGCCGAACTTGGCCTCAAAGAAAGAAGCTCTAGTAAGAAAAAGCTGTGCAAAGATATCGTGTCAAAGTCCCCAAGCATCATATTCAATACCAGAGTCTTTGTACACACATCTGGAATTGGCTTCTTTCCCTTACAGCATATAAATGGTCCAGTTGGACAAGGACTGTTGCGAGGGGAAGTTATTGTGCTCCATGGTTTGGTCACACAACACACAGGCACTCAGAAAGAGCTGAATTGACGTGCGAACTTCACATCTTTACCTGGATCTACCTGCACAGCTGGTGTCATGGGCAGTTGCGGATTGAGTTCGAAACCTTGAACTTGTCTTGGGCTTTGGGGCGGCCTTGGCCATTGCCTGCGGACACAATTTGGGCAACTGAACTCAACTCAATCACTTCAGTCTCTTGATGCTTGAGAACAATACTAATGCTTCGGTCACGTCCATCACTCTACAAGTCACGTGCAGGAGACTCCACCTTGCCAGGTACGCATCGATCCCATTTTCAGGCATATATGATGATCTATGAATATATGATGTGATACGGCATGATCACATATAGCAAGGACGCTACTAGGGGCTCCTGGCCGTACTACTAGGAACAAGAACGCTACTAGGAGCAAAGGGCATCGCTACTAGGAGCAACGGTCACTCCGTTTGTCATCGCTTTTCCATTCAACTTGATGGTCAGGGCCCGAAAGATGGAGAGCCGCAAGGCCATGGCTGAGCTGGATATAGCTGGATCAATTGGGCCGAGATCACCACAAAGGATGCTGGTGGCTATGTGTGTATGGCATTGCGTTGCTTTTGTTCTTACAATGTGATATCTTCACATAGCCCTGCGAAATGGATGTTCCAACACATTGAATGCCAAGATGCAAATTTAACAATACTCCAACTGGAATCTGACGACTGTAATTTATGTCGAACCGTCCAGGAATAAAACCTTGGGCAAAGAGAGAGAAAGAGAAAGAGGACACAAAAAGGAGAGACTGTCGGAGAGACTGAGAAACCTGTTGTTGCCATGCAGCTCACTTTCGCTGTCATAAGCAATAAACGGCTCAAGTTCGTGGAGTGCGTGAGCTCAAACCTAGCAAGCAAGGGGCAGTGTAGAAGGCTTGCTTGCTAGTAGCAAGGAGTAAGTCCAGGACCTTGGGCAAGTACAGTGCTCTATTGTCAAGTAGAAATACTCCCAAAAAACGCAAGTAGCATGCAGCTTCCGCTTTGATTAGCCTTCCACCTGTCACCTGACCAACCAGCAGTGATCAGCACTGCTTTTGATTGCATTCAAGTTCGACAAGAGCTGAAGAGAAGGGTCGATTGGCAGTCTCGTTTTGCCGGCGCCAAGCCATGGTAGGACACTGAAGGCCCTGGCCATTCTCTCTGACAGCATCCATCAAGAGAAGGACAAAGAAGGGAAAGGCCCCTTTAACAAGGGCAATTTCTTGAAGGGAGAGCTTCTTGCAGAGAAGGGCCCTTCCCTTTCTTTCTTCTCTTGGTTCTGTTTGCTTAACGTTCACTTGCTGTCTCACAGGGCCCTCAGAAAGCCGGAGCGTGGAACGGCACGAAAATTGGTCTTTCCTTGTTCCAACCACTGAAGTCTGTGATTACGTGTTCTCAAATCTTTTGGAAGACCAGGCCATGTAACCATAGGAGTACTGGATTGGCAGAGTTGCAAAGTCGTGGAGCAGAAAGAGGCCCAAAACAGCTGAGGGCGAGTCGTAACATACCGTTATAGCTAAACATGTTTGAATGACGGGAAGCTGACTTACTGAGCTAAACATAATGCCTTCAAACTGTTGCCCACAAAAGATCTTATGTATTTATATATATATACACATAAATATGATCTTATACATATTGCAGACTTTATACAATATCCCTAGAACTGGACTTTTGGCTGAACATTTCAACTCTGCTTCAATTGTGCGACATTCCTGTACAATTTTGCGCGGGAATGGGAATGCTTCGACGCGCTGTGACGGGCCAGCTAGCAGAGTCAATCTCAGTTGAGAGACAAGCCACTGTGAGTATCTGTGAGTTTCTGTGGTGGAAGCCCTGGCTCAACTCTAAACTGAGCCCTAGCATTTGCCCAGTTCTGAAACAGCAGCCGAACATCTGCTGTGTCCTGTACTATGTACCAAAGGTGCAAACAAGTGCTGCTTAAAGCTCGCAGTAGAGCACCAGGGGGCAAAGCAGGACAAACATAGCCAACTCGATGTAGTGTTCCAGGCATACCGCCATCTTGGGTATCAAGGAAAAAGAGACTATATAATATAAAGCTTCATACACCCTGACTGTTGCTCCTTTCATACGCAGGCAACTCCAATGTGCAAAGTGGAAGATGCTACATTGGACTTGTCGTCCCTGCACATCCACGTGTTAAAAGTATTCTTGGGCGTTTGAACAACTGTGCAGTGTGCTTGCAAAGGTCCTGATAAGGACCTACATGACTCGACTACAAAGCATCATTTCTCTCTCTCTCTCTAGCATAGTCACTTCTTCGATCTCTGTCCACTGTAAGCTCAACAAAGCGCCCTCTTCGGCAACAATCCACAGAACTAATCAGCTGTTTCACTAGCCAATCCTGCAAAACGCCCGCTTCGTTGCTGAGGACACGCGAGCGACAATCAAGCGGGACAAAACACCAAACACCAGACTTGCGATCCTGATCCCTGAATTGTGGTCAGTTGTTCAAAATCTCCATTATATACTCCCTGGCATACAAACTTCCCCAGAAGAAGGTCTCCCAGTGCCACCCTCGGATTGCCCACTGAGTTCTCTCATCTGCACCAATTGCCGGCCTTGATGTCCCCCATTGGAAGGACATCAAATCCGCATGTCCAGCTTGATGTTGGATTGCTCGAGATACGGATGCACTTGTCGATGTGGAGGTGTTCGTCTATGTATGGGCCATGGTCTCTATGGCTTGGGGGTGCTTTGCTTCCACGCCCGTCCGTCCCCGCTCTCAAAGGGGCCTCAGAGTCTCGACCTGCGACGCTTTTCTGTGGGGCATCACGCCTTGTTGAACCACAAATTTCAAACAGCTGTACTACTAACTCACCAACAATGGATTAGATATCACATCAAAACAGGTCAGAAAACATCTTCCGATTTTCTTTCAGGAGTCGAAGGTTGTATTTGCCGGAAAGGTGATTTAGAGCGATGAACAGGAGTTCAAACAAAGCATAATAGAGTCGATATGATTTCATCATATTGAATTCTGTGACCGCATAGTTCCGCATCCAGTCTTTCGGGCTCCACTCCCTTCCTGTTTCACAGAGTTCTGGGCCCCTTCATGCCCCTTCCATGGGGCGTTTTTGTCTCAAGCGGAAAACGAGCATCCATCCATATCGATCCCAGAGTCTCTCCATGCGGATTCGACCAAAAGGTGACAGCTTCTTGTTACTAGTAGTAAGAATGCTACTAGTAGTAAGGCCAAGAGCCCCTAGTAGCTTCTTGTTACTAGTAGCAAATTAGCTACTAATAGCAATGCCCTTTGCTACTAGTATATAGCTTCTTTAAAGCACTCCAAAAGAAGCTCTATGGCAGTTCTATGAAGTTCTATGCGATGGCCGATGGCCACGCAGAATGGATGCTTCCTCGAGTTAGCCAGGCCCAAGGGCACCTAGATGCACCTAGTGAGTGTTCAGAAACGTCTGGTCTGCCAGTAAATGCCCCGGTGCAAAGTTCCAGTTCACCGCTTCAAATTGGTGCGTAGGCACTTGCGTAGGCGTATACAATGAAATGGAATCAAGGGTATTTAAATACGATTTAGTTTTAGAATCTTCAGATTTTCCCGAGATACACGAAAAACTCTTCTTGGCGGAGAGGCACCGATCTCTGGCCTCATACTGAAAGGCGCCACGCTGCCTTCAGTCGTTTGGCTGGCACTTACGCCTCCTTCATTTGCATGCAAAGAAGAGCCGAAGACCTCAGAATATCTCTCAATCTCTCGCGCCTTCGTTGAAAAATGGGGTTGAGATTGGCCGGCCAAGTGTTTAAAGATGTTGCCCACATAGCCAAAAAAAATACGTTGCGAAAACTAACGAATGATCTGTTGTCTTGCTGCCTTACGTGTTGAAAGTGTTTGTATATTTAAGTATATATATAATTACAATTACGTCGTGTGCACAGGGAAAACATGTGCCAGATCCCTTCTCACCAAGCAAAACATCTGGTCTCTGCAACTCTATACATGAACCTGTTCGAAAGGAATAGACAACATCTTCCGACCCACAACATCCCCCAACCATTGGGCTGTTTAAAAAAAGTAGCGTCCTCTTGTTACTAGTAGTTAGTAAGGTCAGTAGCGATGCCCAGGTTCCCCAGTAGCGTCCTCTTGTTTCTAGTAGTAAGGCCAGGAGCCCCTAGTAGCGTCCTTGCTCCTA